TAGTGGCAAGAGTAATGAAATATCCAACGCATTCTCATCCCAAAGCGTAATATATTGACTCTTTTGCCAAAGCGTCTATATCCAACGCATATGGCACCCTTTAGCGTCAATATAACACGCTTTGGTTTTGGGTAGGTTTAGGTCTGGGGTAGTGTTAGGGTTAGACCACTAGGAGGCGCCATATATCTGCGTCTCATATGACGCTAAAGGGTGCCATGTGCGTTGGATATAGACGCTTTGGCAAAAGAGTCAGTATATTACGCCTTGGGATGAGAACGGGCTCAAATATCATGTTATATAATTCAAGAGGTCGGCAAAGACACCCAATGTAAGATATTTTGAGCTGAATTCAAAGGGTAATGCGGGAAATTGTGAGTTATTTTGAATTTAACTTGAAAGAATGTGAGGAATGTGCTTGAATTACTATTTATTTATTATTATTGATCAAATCTAGTAATTTAAAGGTAAATTAAATTTAAAAAATAAAAAATTGCATTAAAAAACAGAAAAAATATTATCAAAATGAAATAAAATAAGCTTTCTGGACCAAAAATAAATCCTCATAATCCTTATTTCATAATGTTACATCACACCCCGGTGGATATCATAATTGTATCTCACCCCAGGGTATGTTACTGACCCGGACTGTGGGGTGAATTGTAAAAAAAATTGAAACACATCTTATAAAAAAAAAAGTCAAATTCACACAGTTGCCTGGCCTATATTGATCTATTCCAACACTCAATTACAATTAAGTACAATTAATTGTATTCAGTTTTGTTGTAGGCACTAAAGGTACTTTTAACTTCTATACCGAACAGCCTCTTTTAAAAACAAATCAAAATTAAAAATTGTAATATGCCTACCGCATCTATTTTGAATAAAAGACACGTCCACTGAAGAGCTTTACATCTGTGTGAACAGTGTTTTGTTGTAGGCACTAAAGGTACTTTTAACTTCTATACCGAACAGCCTCTTTTAAAAAACAAATCAAAATTGAAAAATTGTAATATGCCTACCGCATCTATTTTGAATAAAAGACACGTCCACTGAAGAGCTTTACATCTGCTTGTCCACCACTAGATGTCGCCATTAGACACTTGATGTCACCAGAAATCCAACAGAACAAGCATCCCACATCCACGTTGGCAAAAATGGGCCTGTATCTCCTGTGTGAAATGTGTGATACTTCAAGCTTTATATAAGGCTCGTTGGTCTAGGGGTATGATTCTCGCTTAGGGTGCGAGAGGTCCCGGGTTCAAATCCCGGACGAGCCCAATATTTTCATAGGCTTTAGAATCTTGGCACTGGCAAAGTCAACATGAAATCAAAATTAACAATTCTTAATTTTATGGACTATTGCAGTCGCCTATTTAACATCACTATTATAAAAAAAAATCATGTTTAATAAAAATAAATTCCCTCACACTTGCAATGTCATGCCTCTCTTCTCTGATGACGTGTTTACTGGCGCAAGGGCGGGACAGCTCACTCACACAGCAACAGCAAACCACCTGAATTATCATGTTAGGCTAGTAATGTAATAGCCAATGTTAGCAGTGCAGCATCTACTGGACAGCCCGAATTTGCTTTTATATAAGTTACGTTACACTTGTTTAGCCTACGTTACAGACACCACCCAGCACTATGCTACTGTCTATGCCTAGTGCCTACTACACGAAACACGTCACGTTCTGCCTCCCGGTTGCGTGCGCAAGCAGTGATGATGTTGCCGAGAAATGCATCATGTATTGTATAGGGAGCCTGTAAATGTGATACACGTTTTCAGCATATTTATTAAAGTACTTTCTGTAGTCCGTTTTACCTCACTTACCAAGGTATTCTATACAGGTGATTCCCGTTTTATTGAGAGATTTTCAGATCACACTATAAAGCCAAACAAACACAAAGTAGCCTAGGCTAAGGCCTCTACCACGTTGGTACAACTATGAAAATCATATTTTATTCAGCAACATTGTTTAGTCTGTCTAGGTCTTAATTTCTTTGTAAATGGTAAGTCTAACGCGGACCAGCTCGAAATCAGCTAACCAAAGAGCTGTGGTTTTTTCAAGCATAGGCTACTCATATTCTTATTTTAAGATCATGTTTTCATAACACATGGGCATTAATCTTTTTAACTATCTGCTGGCTTTCAAAGCCGTGCTAATCCAGCCTCGGTGTCGCAAACTGTGTGTAACTTATTTAACTTCTAAAGGCCACTGCGACCTCTGTAACTGCATGTTGATGCCACCAGATGGCGCCATTCGTCAAAACCAAAATAAACATCATAAACTCACTCCATCGAAAGTCATATGGTCCTGTCCTCTTCTTCCTATCCTACGTGGCACACCATACTTACTAAAATGTTCACGGCTCGTTGGTCTAGGGGTATGATTCTCGCTTAGGGTGCGAGAGGTCCCGGGTTCAAATCCCGGATGAGCCCAATTTTGCATTGATTTTATGTTTTTGTATAATATTTTTTTTTGGAACGGCCACGGCCCTTTCACATACAGAGAAATACTACAATTATTCATAATCAGTAAGTCAGTATTGGAGTGTATAGGCTATAGTTTTAAAGTAGGCCTATTATAAAATAAAATCATTTTATAAAGTTATAAAATAATCAACAATAATATACTTTTATGTGTTCAAACTTTTAAACTTATGTTTCAATCATTATAAAGTACATATGTAGCTAGCCTACTTGCACTTTTGCATGTGCGAATCATTGAATGCAATCTTAGAGCTATTTGTGCAGTCTGGAAAATTCTGGACATTCTCAAGAGTGGAAAATGACAACAGAAGACAATCTTAATTTAATACTGTAATATATACTCTTTATAAAAAGACATTTGTGACATAAAAATGAAAACACGATACAAGCTAAAAAATATTTCACACTGGTACATGTCGAGAGGGAATATGCATAATTTGCACTTTATGCACAACATAAATCAACAAATCATTCTGTTTTGGAGCGCACCACATTTATATAGTAATAGATGGTGTTTTAATACAGTGTTAGATCTACTACCTCTCCGTCCATAGGCTTCACATACTTAAAAGAGTGTGACTGCTGCATATGAGCCATATCTACAGGTGAAACAAACTCAATCACCTGTGTTCAATAAATCAATACCAAAACGGCATAATCAAGGTTGGGGAAGTTAATATTTCACATGCATGTTTGGCATTTCATAATTGTGAGCCACACAACAGCACAGGTCTGACAAAAATATGCATCATCCAAACACTCTGAGCTCGAGCTGGACGAAACCAATCAGCGTTCACACTTGCGTATTCCAGTTAGATATGTTTTCAGGCGTCCAGCTCGTGCAGGCTGGAATTGTGACTAAATGACTATATTTAAACAACGTGATGATAGCCAACCAGAATCCCAACCACTGAATGCGTAATGCTTGTACTTTCCACTTTTCCTAACAATTTACAAATTCGATTTACGTATGAAGCGGCAAGGAAGCGATAACGTAAGATAAGGCAGATCAGAGTTGTAGCTGAACATCTGAGACAAAAAAACATCCTTAAAGCATTTCACACGTTAAACAGCGTGAATCGTATGTGAAAATTAAAAAGGTGCTTGTGTGTGGTATCATAAAGTGTTTCACAATCGCAGTGCGCATATCCCAGACAGCAACATAGTGTCGGCCCAGATCCGGCCCACATCTGGTACAGGTGGGTTCGACGAGTACCAGATGTGGGCCGACACTGTTGCTGTCTGGCTACACACTCTCGTCCTAGGCGCGTGTGGTTGTAGCTCAGCAGTAACAGTCAGCTGTCAGAGTTAGCATATAAAAAAAACATAGCTTAGTCTTGCTGGGCCAGTGTTGGAGGGGTAACAAGGGGACAGACAGGAGACTGCTGATGTAGCGCCTCAGGTAACCGTACACCAGCTTTTCCTGTTAACCTCCTTGTAGCAAAAGCTGGTACGCGAGATAATCTCCTCACCGCATTATGTCACACAGCCCCGGAGGATTACAGACACACCCGTGAGACGTGACTTCGCAAAGTCCGATCCCTGCAGGCGCTCAGTCCCGGCCTGGCCTGTCACTTTTAGGGGTTTAGCATTGGCTCAAGAACAGCACAGTGATTTGAAAAGGCAGTTGTTAAGCTTCAGGCTATACTAACAGCTAGGTACGTTCACGAAGTAAGACGACCCGGAGTCAGTGTAGGAAACTAATAATTACCCTCTTGAATTGTGCTCAGGGTGGGATACGAGGCCTGGGTCAAGTTTCAGTGGCACTCTAGGCCCGAGTCAAGTTTTTGACGGCTCCAAATATAATTTACGAACAATCGATTCGACATTTCAATGCCAGGAGCGAAATCTGACAGAAAAGAAAAGGTAATTCCATACTCAAACAGGCCATGTATCTTCCTAAACAGATTAACATGATATGGATGATTCTCAAAAGATATTAATGAACATATCTTGGTTACTGATCGTTAACCCTTACGCCCTAAACAATATTCATGCGTTCTGAGTTAAATCAGTTTTCTCAAATAAAAAAAATCTATAATTCTCTCACCTTCAAGTAGTTCTAAAGACTTTTTTCTTCAGTGAAACACAAAATAAAATATTAGAAATAATCAAATATTAATATAATACATTTATAATGTATATAAACTAATATATTATTATAAGTTTCAAATAATGCAACAAAAAAAAAGCCAGTAGTGTCAAAAATTTTGTTTTAGACCCCGCTGACTTTTATTCTAAGGACAAAAACATTCTTCAAAATATCTTCTTTTGTGTTCCACTAAAGAAAGACTGTCATACACGTTTGGAACGACATGATGATGACATTTTTGACATTAAAATTTTCATTATTTGGGTGAACTGTCCCTTTAAGCTATGTGTCATAATGTCAATTATGACAAATACTTGTTTGACGGTTTGGAATTGAAAAACAAATATTGAGAAAAATAAGAGGGTTTGTTTGTTACCGAATAGAGTTGAATTATAACCAGGTGACTGCCTTTTTGTATTTCAAAGCACATTTTCTGTTGTAATCGACAGCATGTGACAGATAGTGTCGATGGAGCTTAAGTTATATTTAACCCAGAACATTCCTTTAAGGCAAAGCTTGATTAGAACTCCAAACTTAACTAATTCGTATGCTGGAAAAGCATAGCAATCAAGTATCATTTAATGAAGTGCAAGTCTGCCACCCCTTGAGGCTAGTCCCTCCTTGCAGACACAGACATAGCGATGTATGAAAGACCGGGTTATGTTATTTGGCTGTCACTGAGGATGTCACACCTCAAATGGTCAGTACTGTCATTGCCTTTGCACTTATCCCATCATTACACAGGGAATCCCCAGGAAGAGTTCAGAAGAGGACAAACGACAGAAAGGGTGAACGGTAGGAGGAAGGCAAATGGGTAACAGTTGTTGCGGTAAGCTCAGGATGAAGTGGATCACCTGTTTTCAGCTTGAGAGTGCAAAACGTTCAGGTAGGAAATAACACAATACATATCAATTGTCATCAAGTAACTTTTTGCAATGCAAGTCCCCGCAGACACACCAAACGAAACGACCGTCCCGATCCAATCAGTTCATGGGGTGTGTGTCTGCTGTCATGTCCTGAATGAAGAAAAAATCTTGAATTCAGTGAAAGTTCACCACAGAGACTAATAAAATTAAAATAAAAACCATTCAGGCACCCTTGTCAAAACCAAAGGACAGGGTGTCTGGAAAAGTTGATTTTGTCCTATAATTATTCCCAAACCTTTTATGCTAATCCCAGAGCAGTGAGAAAAATGGAGATCATTTTCATGCCCGTGGGTTGCGTCAACTTATTGTGAAAATGAACGGAAATTATATAAAAAAAAAAAAAAAAAAATCCTGTTTCTCCGTTATATTTGTGTGTGTTGTCAGGTTCAGGAGGGGGTCATAAGGCCACCATGGTGCAGGGGTGTTTGAGTTTGCAGGGCAGGACACCCCTGTTGAGCTGGTAGAACTCTACCAGGTGGATCAGGTCTGTGAACTTGGTAGAGCCGTCGTCAAGACTAAAAAAGACCTGGCCATCCTCCTCAAACTGCCAGAGAGTGAAAAGAAATGCAAGAAGAGAGTGGAGGTGGAGAGAAGAGAAACAGTAAATACATTTTTAAAGTATTAAACTCTCCTGTCAAGATAACAAGAGCCTAAAATGAGCCAATCTCTCAATAAAAAAATTATATGCTATTCCATAACATAAAGGAGATTGGGGTAAAATGTACCAATTACTAAATACTAAAATAAAAAAAATATTACACTAAATAAAATACAATTATAATTCACCATTTAAGTACAAATAATATAATACAATAATATAAACAATCATAAATATAATTCTCATTAATTAATCATTAATATAACCAATATTTGACAATTGAAAAAAGTTTAATAGTGTTTCCTTTAATAAATCATGGCTTATTTTCAGCTACAGTGGGAAGTCACTAACATGCACAAAATATAATATTAGACCTGGAAATATTTGGTTAAAATATAAAACAGAACAAAATTTTCTTTTTTAACGTGCCTCTCTCAAACACTTACAGCTGTGAATTAAGCACTTTTTATTTTCCTACTTTTTGTACTTGCACTTGTGAAAATCATTGAATACAACAGAGCTTTTTGTGTGTGCAGGCTGGACAATTTTGGACAATTCATGAATTCAGTAAATTTATTAACTTTTTAACATTTTAAGTATAAGAAAGAATTTGCAGTTAGCCCCGCTCCCCCAAATTATACATAATATTAATACATGCAAAGGGAAATATGTATTCAATGTTTATTAGGGACTCACAGGTAAAATCTGGAAGTGTTTAATCTTCTGATGATGGCACAAAGTGAGTACGAATGCTTTTGGATTGCTCTGGCTGTCTCTCAATAGGAATAACCTGTAAGGCAAAATACTATGATTAATTTTACTGCCCTCTTTCAAAACAGCAGTTAATATTGCCCATCATATCAATATGGAAAATGTCATACCCATCAACTTGGCCCTGCTGCATAATCATCCTGTGGGATTCCTCTCTCATAATGCGGCCGTGGAACCATAACTGCGTCCTGTGAATCACTGGGGACATGAACGCAAAGTGCACATTTAACCGGCATGAAATATTGTTATATCGATTAAAGAACTATGTAAAGAGGATCTGTTATGCTTTTCTACCTTTTCAACTTTAAGTGTGAAATGTTGCTGTTTGAGCATGAAAAAGGTCTGCAAAGTTATACAAAGCACAAAGTTTACTTTAAAGGGAGTTATTCCCTATATCAATAAGCACTGTTTCTGAATTCCCTGAAACACCTCAATTGTAGTTTCCTTCCGGGAACGCACGTCACAAATTTCCTGCCCAAAAAAAGGCGAGGCCTGGTTGAGTTGTGTTAGCGGTGTGTTGAAACATGCGGTTATGGTAAGGGGCGTGGCATTTCTGAAATGCGCGCAAAGCACAACACACTGGTCCAGCCGACCAATCAGAGCACATTGTGCTTTTCGGAAGAAAGGCCTTAATTGAGAGAGGAACTAAACAGGGCTGGTTTCCCAAAGCCAACTATGGTCGCAAGTTCAGTTGTTACCAATAGAGTTCAATTGAACTTGCACCTATAGTTGGCTAACAATGCTTTTGGGAAGCGCACCCCAGAGCGTTACTGACAGACTGGGAAGAGAGGTGCTGCTACAATGTAAAATATGTGGAAAATAATGTTGTTGTTTTTTTACATTTGAGCATGAAAACCTATTCTAGTAGGCCCCAAAAAGAAAACCAAGACATTGTAAAAGGGCATGATAGATCCTCTTTAAATCAACTGATATTGTAGTCGCTAAACATTGGAGTAAACAATGCAGTACTCACCTGAACTTAACGGTGAGGGATGTAGAGGACTAGGGCTTCCCAAAACATTCATTCTCTGACTTCGCTTCTGTACAGAGATTAAAAAAAATTATTATAAATGACCTAAAAACCCTAATTCAGGGATGTCCAAACTCGGTCCTGGAGGGCCACTGTCCTGCAGAGTTTAGCTCTAACTTGGCTCAACACACCGGCCTGGAAGTTTCTTTGTATGGCTAGTAAGACCTTGATTAACTGGTTCAGGTGTGTTTAATTGGGGTTGGAGATGAACTTGACAGGACAGTGGCCCACCAGGAGAAGGATTAGACTGCCCTAATTCATTACTGACAAACTGACAGAGGATTTAACTTGAGTAAACTTGTATCTAACTACTCACTCTCCAAGTGTGTCCCTCTTCCATGGCAGCGCTTTGAGCCTCCACAGGGTTGTCAATCACACGACCCGTCCTTCCTGAGAAATCCATGGCGACCAGCGAATTCTCAGACACACTCCGCTATAGTAAAAACAGTATTACACTTGATCAGTTGTCTATTACTTAGCCAACCGTGCTGAGAATATGGGGCCGAGAACGGTTTGAAATCGAGCCGTGCCGTACCAGGCTCAAGTGGTTCGGCCCGACAGTGGAAAAGCAGCTAAAGTCTATGACCAAAACCTACAGGTTGTTCTCAAAAACAACCTATTATGATCGGCATTATACCCCTCTGATTAAACCAATAAAGCCTTATTAAATACCTTCTAAATGAATCCTTACAGCAAGCACTGTGTTTTGTACATTTCCGCTGCAAGTTCCCAATGCAAATCGGCGTAAAGGAATCTATAGCCGCACGCTTCATTAGCACGCTGTTCATACTGTTATGAGCAGATTAAGTGAACTCTCAGCAAGAGCGTTCCTCATGAGTACACGGGGTGCATATAATACCAGGTGAACTCACAGAAGCGTGAATGCAGCACATTTAACCCATCAACTGCACTAGAGAGTCAGCACTAAGTAACATATTAACATGTTTCTTACCACAGGTGTAGTGAAGTTTGATATGGCAGTCTTTCTCTGGTGTGGGGTCTTGTAGTTCTGATATAGCAGAATTCCAAACTAGAAAGAAAAGAGTGCGTTTGAACGAGTTAACAAGAATGGACAAGAGGGTAGAGGGGATATCTGAGTAAAAGCTTGTTCACACCAAGTCTGTTGCGACTAAACAATATGAAAGTTTAAGCATGTAAAATGTTCCCAAATAATTTCCCATTACTGTTGTTGTTATAATTATGATCATTATAAATTGTATTATCTTTTATAAGATTTTCCAAGCCTCTAAAAAGAAAAAGGTCTAATAAAAATGAAATATTATGCGTTACAACAAATGGCTCACTTATAGTAGTCTATTATTATTATTATTACTTTTATTTATTTTTATAATATGACTCTAAAAAATTAATAAGCTTGAGAGAAAATAAGCCAACAAATAGCTGACTTATACAGTAGCTGTCTAGTACACAGATTTTTGAAAAGTAAATTAATACTTTTTTCAGCCAGGACACATTAAAGCTATCACAAGCGACATTTATAATGTAAAATGCTGTTTTTTTGGAATTTCTGTTCATCAGAGAATCCTGAAAAGTATCATGATGTCCAATAAAATTAAGCAGCACAACTTTTTTCAACACTGATAAATGTTTCCTGAGCACCAAAATCAGCATATTAGAATGATTTTTGAAGGATCATGTGACACTGAAGACTGAAGTAAAGGCTGCCTAAAATTCAGCTTTACTATCACAGGAATAAATTTGAATTTAAAATGTATTAAAAACAGAATAACAGTTATTTTAAATTGTAATAATATTCCATAATTTCACTGTTTTTACTGTAATTTTGAAAACTACTTTCAAAAACACCCATCCCAAACTTTTAAACAGTAGTGTATTTTAATATAGAAAAACATTTCACACTTCTAAATGTACACGGTTTTAAGAGTGTGTATAGAGTGTAGCAGTGATATGCGTGTATACCTTGAGCAGTCTGAAAGCAGTCATCCAGCACGTTCGGCTCTGCTCGTCCTCGGCACACAGCATCTTCAACTCCTTCAGTTCAGTCCTGCCCTTACTGGGCTGTCAATCAAGCAAGATATCTACTGTCAAATCAAGGCACTCAAGTTAAAATGGACAAGCATGCACTGTACCAGGTGAGGCATGGGTAGTTATTTAAAGGGGAAAATCATTGATTTTGAAATTGTGCCATCCATCCTTCCTCTATTCTCAATGCCGCTGATTCTGTTCATTTTATGCATGACAACACTGACCGTCGTCCTGCTCACCTTAATGCAGAATTGGAAGTCTGTGGGCGCATTGTGCATCTTTCTGCCCGTGGTCACAGTGAAAATATTGCTCTCCTCCAAGTCTGACAGTAACTGCAGGTGCCTTGGCTCCTAAACAACCCAGTTAAAACTTCATCATATTACAACTCGCAGACAGTCCTGCATAATGAGTGGTACAGTGAAACCGTTATCCTGAAATAATTTATTAAAATAAATATGGTCCAAAAATCTGAGACGTCTAGTATTTAGCATTTCAACTCTAGTAAAAATTCTACTTTTCCATTATTATTCTAAACTACTTTGATGCACTTTGTTGCAATTTGTATTATAAGCATAAATTTATTTATTAACAGATTACCAAACGTTTTTATTTATATAAAAATAATAATAATAATATACAATTAAGCTCCTTACATTACAATAACTATATTAAATATTCATTAAATATTTATTAGAAATTCTATTTTTTATTTCTTTTCTTTTTTTTATTATTAATATGTTAATGTTTGAAAATGAAAATTTCGAACTCATTTTAAGTCGAAACTTTCTTTGTATTTCCAAAATCCTAATTTTTTTAAATAAATTCAGGTGCAAATTAGATTATGAATCCCAGTCTTTAAATGTGGACTTTTGTAGCTCACTGTATTTATTTGCAGGAAAAATTACAAATATAAGATGTATAACAGCCGTAGAACAACAAAAGTTGTAAAAACATTGATATGCTCTTATGTGAAATTTAGAGACTTGAATTCATAATATAACATTAAAATAAGTTTAAAGAGAAGCTTGCCTTAGACATTCCTTTAGTAGAGCAGTACAGCCCAGAACGCCGCAAGAACATGTAGTGCTTTTTCCAGGACTTTCGGCCCGTCTCTTTCAAATAAAGGAAGCCCTGGATCTCTGGACAGCTGCTGGAATTCAAGAAATTCTGTGCAGGAGGGGAAAAAAAAGCAGAGGACCATCTGGAAAATGAGTTTTTCAAACCTGAATGCCTTCCATGCTTTAATAACACGGCCTCTCTGCTATCACAAGACATGAGTATGCAGTTTAAAAGCTGTTTGAATCCACCAAAATGCTTATTCGGCTGCACTGGCAATCACACAGTCATGTAAGTGTGACGCACATGTTCATAATGTAGGCTAATCCAGATTTTGCTGTGTATCAGATCCATTTGCGCGTCTTCCTCACCTGTAAGAGCTGGGACTGTGGGATAGAGCCATTAGATTCCTGACACCATGCAACCATCTGCTCCGGAAAGAAGTTCTATGAGAGGAAGAGAGGTAAGAAAAGACCGTCTGCACTGAACATATGCCAGCAACTCAGAAGAAAGTATTTAAAAATACCTTTTAGTTTGAATGACCAGTAATTGGAAGCCATATCCCATATACAATTACGTTTTTAGGTTCACCTGACCCAGATCGGATGCCTTTCTTAGTGGGCAATTACATAAGATGATTCGGTAACACTTTACAATACGGGTGCACTAATATGCATTAATTCATGTTTAACTAATGCACAGATAATCATGAGTTAATGTATAACTCATGAAGAACTAAACCATTAATTAATTATTACTGCATCAGCAACTAATGAAGAGTCTATATGATTAATAGATTAAGTAATACATGAATTGCTATTAATTCAATGTGTCATTGTGTATTAATTCCTTAATAACACATTTTATTAACTTATAGTGTAAATGAATGTGTTAATTACCACAATTAGTCAAAGCTATGCACTTCAACTTCCAGTTGTCTGCTTTAATTAATCATAAGCTAATGATTTGCAAAGGTATCATTATGTTATGACTTTACTAGTTGAGGCACATGACTATTAACTAATTGTTAAGTAATATGTAATTATGGTTATGGGTAAAGTGTTACCGTAATATTTTATGGAAATGTGTTTTTGGAAAGTGCTTAATAAACAGCTTTTATAAACTCTAGTGATGGTCATTAATGATAAATTAATCATTAGCTAATGGTTTGCAAATATATAATTATGTTGTGACTTTACTTGTTGAGGCACATCATTATTAACTAGTCATTTAGTAATTGTAGTAATTTACACATGAATTTGCACTAACAATGAAGTAATTAATCATGTATTAATGCATATTAGTGTACCTGTATTATCTGGAAGTTGAAATACAAGGCTTTGGCTCATTCTGGTAATTAACACTATTAGTTAAAAAAATGAGTTATTAGGGAATTAATCCACAATTACATAATTAATTAAAAACAATTAATGTATGAACTAATACATTAACCATACAGACTCTTAATTAGTTCCTAATGTGGTTATCATTAATGAATAGCTTAAATAATCATTAGTTACACATTAATTCAGTATTATCTGTGCATTAGTTAAGCATGAATTAATGATTATTAGTGCACCCGTATTGTAAAGTGTTACCGAATGGGACAAACTTTGAGAATTGAATGTACAACTTTTTCAAGGTTTTAACAGAATTTTCTTCTCTCCATAGATACGATATATAGATTATATATATAAAAAAATCTCCTTAAATAGATACGACAGATTACATATATATGATAATATATTTAGCCCTCTGGTGTTGTTTGGTCATTTTAGACCAATTTAAAATCGCTACTTCTGTGTGAAGTACTTGACTTTTGGTCATAAAAAAAAGTCGCACTTGCGTTGTTACCATACAGAGAAATTTGTTGATGTGTAAAATATACAAATCAGCCACGATGCAGCAAAAAAGTGCACAGCAATAGACACATTGTACATGAGCTGATCACACTAAATCAACAACTCAATTTTTGAATAATCAGTAAATCCAGGTGTGACCTTTACCAGTTGAACATGGTAAGAAGCATGCACAAATTCACATACGCACGAGCTGAAACTCATCTAAAGCTAATTTGGGTGAGTTGCACTAAGCATTTGCCAAAGCCAGGGATTACCAAGAGCAGGTTAAGTGCTCTGTCAAATAGACTCGAACTAACCGGCCCAAAGACGCCTCAAGCACTGACACATACTGTACATACCATACTAAAGCACAGGCTCAAATAAGATTAAGCCTTTGCGAGAACATATTTTTTCAAGCGTACAAAAAGTCTGTGGCTTATAAAGAATGATAAAATGGTTCACAGTGTTCACACCGTAAGGTGCTTATACGACACATGTTCAAAAGTACTTGTCGAAATTCAATCAGTTAAAAGGTGTCGAGTACAGGCTTATAAAATTTAAAAAAGCAGGTTACTTGCTTAGTGAGGTGGAACATGTACAAGCTGTACTTGAATGGCTGGAAATGGATTAACAGGGAGGTTTTTTCTCACATATGGAAAACAGGAATGTGGGAACTTGTTGGTTTGTTTGACATTTACATATTTAAGGGATTTATAGCTTGCAGGTCATGCATCAAGTATTCTTAGTGAGATTTTCAAGGATAATCTGACTTTAATTTCAAGGGATTTAAGCTTGTAGTGGTGGTCTGGAGAGGTAAGGAAACACATGGGTGGGCTGAATGGGAGCGGTTGTTCTCGGCCACAACTCACCAGTGGGTTTCTGAAGAACTCGTACTTGGCGTAGTTCTTCCTGAAGAGAAACTTGCTCTCTGGAGACATGCAGGCCTGCACTGCAACCACCACTTCATGATCTTCCAGGCACCTCTCTGTATTCAAACAAACAAAGATGACATCAAAACTATGTTAGTTACTGGTATGGTGGCCGTTAATGCTGTAATGGATTTTAACACGATTACTTTAAAATCGCCAAACACTTTGAATCAGAGCATATGGAATGAGTTGTGACCTCTGAAGCTTGGGAATATTAAAATGTCTGTCAGGGGGAATTTTTTTTTCCCTGCTAACCACTAAGCCACGGCTCCAAAAGGGGGGTGGGGTTTATATATGTATATTTTGTAACTGTTTGGTGTCGTAGAACACGCACGGATATAGGAATATATTCAAAACTGACTTAAATCATGAACTCAGGAGAAGTACACATTACAAAAGACAATAACCGACAAGGCACTGAACAAAACAGGGAAGGTAAAAATTGGATCGCAATCTCTTAATTGCCGATCTCATGCTGACGATGCATAAAGACACGTGCCTGCCGTGAGATGTATATGGCATGACATGCAGCGGCGGCGTCTCAATACCTGTATGGCGCGGGTAAAATAATTATAATGCTGAAGGTGAGGCGCAACTCAAACAGAGTGAATCACCGCGCGCTCTGTCTATATTTCCCTCTCAAAATGCAAAAATAGCTTCACATCACCCCAATGTGTCTGCACTATAAGTGAGTTGCACAGTTGACACAGGAATTGTCACTTGCACAATTGAGGCAGTGTCGCATCATCACAAAAGTTTATAATTTGCATTTCTTTATTGCCAGTGTTTAAACCAGTCAGCACTTGCACGCTCTCGAGACGTTGCACACTCAAAGCACGCAAACATAAAGCCGCCTCAAACACCTCGCGAGTACCAAATTGCACTTAAATGGTCAAATACACACAAATGTATGTACAAAATTACTTGAGTACTCTCGTAAACACAGTTGGTTTTGTCTTGAGTGAACGTAAACTGTTGAGAAAGAAAATGTATGTGTAACAGTTTATTGGATCAGTGTAGGGCTGTCACGATGTTAGATTTTTCACACCACGGTTATTGTGGCCAAAATAATTCACGATATCGATATATCGCGATATCTATAGAAACCTTGGGGGAAAAAAATGTCAAATCAGTCAAATTAATTTTTACTTTGTTTATTTAATTTTTCTTTTTTGCATTTTTACTTCTTGCGTTCTTATATTTGAATGCACATTTTTTGTGAAGTAAGACAAGCATGTTAAGTATATCTGGTTTCAAACTGGAGCGAAACACTGTCTGAATGTTTCCTGAAGAACTGAAAACCTATTGTTGCGCCGGTGCAAGTCATGCAGATTTGAACAAAACAAATCAAGTGCAAATACAAAAATACAAAAATAAGACGAGTAAAGAAAACGGGGCACTTAATAAATCACCCTTTATTTAAACATATGAAAACAAAAACACACTGTTAACAGGTTAATGTCACATTTCCCATTCCATGACTAGTAAAATAATCGCAATTTACTCTCTGTAAAATAGCGTAATCCGCAGTGTGATGGACACGGAGATGGGTAAAAAGGTTGGTGGCTACACATTCTGCAGATTGGGTTTAAGGGGGTCGCACACCGGACGAGAAGCGCAGCTCCGCGTCGCGTGTAGCACACCGGACGCGCACTTTCTCAGTTCATGGCCAGCAATATTGTTATGTTTAAGGACATTATGAAATTAAGATCATGTCTGTACTATGTTATGATTGTACTGTACAATTAAATACAATCGTTGCTAAGACTGCAGTCTGAACACTTTACCTCAGTCAGAGCGCATCCGTTAATTGAATAATTTGAGAATCTCACCTGAAAATCCGAGCCATTGCTGGGCGTCGCGGACAGACGCCGAATGGTGCCGGTAGTGTGTGTAAACTCCTAGAAAATAATGTGTTCGAATTTTAAAGAATTCTCTGCGCTTCTCGTCCGGTGTGCGACCCCCTTTAAAGTGCTGTTTTCTTTGAAGCCGAAGAACTCCCATACCAGAGTGGCTGCGCGGGCGCGCGCTGCGTCTTCAGCCCCGTTCACACCGCCAGCGATTTTGTCGCTACACGTCGCTTGTTTCTGTACTGTGAAGTCGCTTGTGGGCGTTCGTAGTGCTGTCGCTCTAATGTTATTGGTTGACTGCACGTCTGGCCATATATCTACTCAAAATTAGCCTGGCATGCTAGACCTACATCAAGATGTTAGGTCTGGGAACTCTCCATTGACATGCCTCAATCCGAGGGGCGGGATAAACGGTTACCTTTCAAAATCCCTCTGCACGCAATAGGATAACGCTACAACCAACCAGAGCAACGAACGGTTGTGGATGAGTGAGTCCCATGCGTTTTTCCACCAGCGGAGCTAATTGATATATTAACCTTTTGCCGTATCAGGTCGGCAAAACTCCGAACACATCTTCCTTTTTTAAGAATGACTTAAGTGACGTTCTCTTAACTCCAAGTCTTCCAGAGTCGCGGCCAAAGCCGATTCGAAAGACCGCTGCATCTTCATTGTTTTCAAGTAGCAGGGAAATCACCTATGGAAATCACACGGAACGTCATGAACTGTGCCGTCATTGTGTTAAGCCCGCCCGCCGACTCTATACACGATGTGATTGGCCCGACCAGTTTTTGGTTTTTCCAGCTCAAAAGCCTATGGAGAGTTGCTAGACCACACTGGCTGCGAAATAATTTTCGCTGCCGCTAGGGTGCGTCTAGATTTCTAGGCTAACTCAAAATACCATCAGAAGTGACATACAACTATATCATTTTAATTTGACTAGGAATTAGGCTCAAAAGAAACAGTATGCTGTTGGGAGAGTGTTTTTATATTACCACAGCAGTGTTCAGTGGATTAAATCATTTACTAGATTAACGATCGATCAATCAACAAATTAAACTCACTCATTCTGTCATAAATTACTAAAACGTCATTCGAATTTGACAAATAATCAATTTTCTTGTCCCTAATAGTCAACATAATGCAAGGGAAACTGTAAAATGATCTGCAGCAGTGCTAAACTTGCATCATAAAATTACAACACTCGAACTATAAATGTATATGAATTAAACTCACTGAGACTGTCGACAGTTTCTTTTCCATTCGTCATTTTATTATATCCATGTATGTGGTTACAGTCAAATCATATAAAACAGTGAAATCTCCCTCGAACTCTTCTGTCTTGCCTGCACTCGAGACGGTGACGTGAGCTCCACTGAAAGTCTTCTTTCCTGTTGGTTGTCGCTCGCGAAAATCGCTTCTCATTTGCATAAAGTTGAAAATTCTCAACTTTTGTCGCTTGTCTCTTGTCGCTTGACACGCCCACATTCTGTCGCCAACGGTCACTGTCGCTCGTGTCGCCGGATGTCGCCAGCGCTCCATTGAAATGAATGGGATCGTGTCGCTTTGTCGCTGCGTGTCGCTGGCGGTGTGAAGCCCCGTTCACACTACAAGCGACTTTGTCGCTGCATGTCGCCAGTGGCTGGCGATGAGGTCGCTAGTGGGAGTTCCCACTACTGGTTGCCTTTATGAATGACATCCAATGATGTGGAGAAGGATCATACGCGCTCCGCTCCTATTGGTTGTCGCTCCCGAAAGTCGCTCCTCATTTGCATAAAGTTAAACAGATTTTAATCCCCATCCGGTCGCCAACGGTCGCTGTCGCGCGTGTCGCCGGAAATCGCCAGCTCCCCATTGAAATGAATGGTATCGCGTCGCTTGGTCGCGTGTAGTGTGAACGGGGCTTGAACGGGGCTTTCTTCTCATTTGATAGATGTCGCGGGTGCAATACTGCCACCTCAACGGGCGCTGGAGTATACGTGTTATCATAAAAGTCCTATTCATTTTAAACATCGTGGTTATCGCCAATACCGGTATATTGCCACACTCTAAATTAACACGATGTCGATATTTCACGCTTTGAATATCACGATTATCGTCAATACCGGTATATTGCGACACCCCTAGATCAGTGCATTTTGGTCTTAAAGTGACCATAGCCTAATAATCGTGCTGCTGTCTCCGAAATCCAAATTTCTCTATACATTTTTTATTAATATTAATGACACTCACTGCTCATGAATAAATAACTTTTGTAACTTTAATTGTAAGAATGAATTTGTATTTCATTTATTCAGGGAAGGCTATCCAGTATTATTTTACATTTGATTCCTTATTAAATTTCTTTAGTATTTTTTACCTTAATACTACTGTTATACCTACCAAAAAAAAAACTTAAAGCACTGTTTATTTAATTTGTATCTTTATTCTATTTTATTTGTTTGTGCTATTGCTTGTACTTTGATTATTTGTTCTTATTTTATCACTGACTTTTTTTGTGTGAATTCAATTCAGAATTTGAAATTAGGCTTGTGTTGTTATATACACACATATACACTCACCGGCCACTTTATTAGGCACCCCATGCTAGTAACGGGTTGGACCCCCTTTTGCCTTCAGAACTGCCTCAATTCTTCGTGGCATAGATTCAACAAGGTGCTGGAAGCATTCCTCAGGGAGTTTGGTCCATATTGACATGATGGCATCACACAGTTGCCGCAGATTTGTCGGCTGCACATCCATGATGCAAATCTCCCGTTCCACCACATCCCAAAGATGCTCTATTGGGTTGAGATCTGGTGACTGTGGAGGCCATTTTAGTACAGTGAACTCATTGTCATGTTCAAGAAACCAATTTGAAATGATTAGAGCTTTGTGACATGGTGGAAGTAGCCATCAGAGGATGGGTACATGGTGGCCATAAAGGGATGGACATGGTCAGAAACAATGCTCAGGTAAGCCGTGGCATTTAAACAATGCCCAATTGGCACTAAGGGGCCTAAAGTGTGCCAAGAAAACATCCCCCACACCATTACACCACCACCACCAGCCTGCACAGTGGTAACAAGGCATGATGGTTCCATGTTCTCATTCTGTTTACGCCAAATTCTGACTCTAACATCTGAATGTCTCAACAGAAATCGAGACTCATCAGACCAGGCAACATTTTTCAAGTCTTCAACTGTTCAATTTTGGTGAGCTCTTGCAAATTGTAGCCTCTTTTTCCTATTTGTAGTGGAGATGAGTGGTACCCGGTGGAGTCTTCTGCTGTTGTAGCCCATCCGCCTCAAGGTTGTGCGTGTTGTGGCTTCACAAATGCTTTGCTGCATACCTCGGTTGTAACGAGTGGTTATTTCAGTCACTGTTGCCCTTCTATCAGCTCGAACCAGTCTGGCCATTCTCCTCTGACCTCTGGCATCAACAAGGCATTTCCGCCCACAGAACTGCCGCTCACTGGATGTTTTTTCTTTTTCGGACCATTCTCTGTAAACCCTAGAGATGGTTGTGCGTGAAAATCCCAGTAGATTAGCAGTTTCTGAAATACTCAGACCAGCCCTTCTGGCACCAACAATCATGCCACGTTCAAAGTCACTCAAATCACCTTTCTTCCCCATACTGATGCTCGGTTTGAACTGCAGGAGATTGTCTTGACCATGTCTACATGCCTAAATGCACTGAGTTGCCGCCATGTGATTGGCTGCTTAGAAATTAAGTGTTAACGAGCAGTTGGACAGGTGTACCTAATAAAGTGGCCGGTGAGTGTACATTATATATATATATATATATATATACATATATACATATATATATACATATATATATATATATATATATATATATATATATAGAGAGAGAGAGAGAGAGAAATTCATAAAAATACAAAGAATAAATGATTTGCATTACATATATATAAAAATAAATATTAGTGTGAATCATTAATGCTCTAATAATTTTAATATTTAATATAAAATACTACTTATATATATTTAATTAAATATTAAAATATATATGAATTTATAATATAATAATTAAATGCATAAAATAAATTATTCACATAATATATAATACATATGAAAATATTAAAGTGAATTTAATATAATATTTATATATTCATGCTCTAAATAATAATCCAAATATTTTAGAAATATACAGTAATCTCCTGTTAAACATTTAAATTCGTGTATTTGGCAGAAGCTTTTATCTAAAGTACCTTATAGTGAAGTCAAGCTATTTTTTTTTTAGTATGCGACGTGTTCCCTGGGAATCAAACCCATGACCTTGGCATTGCTAACGGCATGCTCTACCAGTTTAACAACAAAAACAAACAAAGCATTACAAATATTTCAGCATCCAGCACTATGTGATGTCCTATAATGAGAAAATGATCCAAATGAACTGTATATTGTAATGTCTATGCTTTTTAAGTATAGCATAACTCATATGTCAAAGACAATAAAGCACTGGCTCAAACCCCATCTAATGTATCTGTTGTGTATCTGATCCCTCATCCGCTAATTCACTCCTCCGAGAAGAGCAGGAGAGAAGGAGAGAGAGCATGACTGTGTATGAAAGAGAAAGCGAGGGAAAGCGAGAGGCATTGCAGAGGGATGAGGTCATGTATTTAGCTTGATTGCACTGAGGGTTGATGGCAGCAAAGTCAGCAGAGTCTCTCTGCTAATGGCTTACGTAAGAGCAACGTTTCTAGAAGGTTTCCGTAACGTTGGCACGCTGATGTCTCCAGAAGTGATGAGGGAAACACATCCAACTACACCACATAATGCTAAGCCTCTCTAGAGATGTCAGATGACCAAAACAGACCACACCCTGTCACATTTTGACATCATATCATGTGACCTGCACGATCAGTGCCTAAGCATAAGTAACAACTTTCCTTGAAGGCTTTAAAGTGGACGCATTCAAATAAAGAGCAGATTGTGTCAGTCCGAATTATTTCAGAATCTCAATAAAGGGATTTTCAAGAGCCTACAAGAGCAATGACTGCATCTCTAAAGGTCAGGCAGAGTTAAATCTGTTTAGTATGATTTGGGCAAGGGTTAATCTGTAATCTGCCTGAGAAACACACAGCCACACGTGCCCTGATTGATTGCCGGCGAGATTAAGCACTAGTTCTTCATGACCTCTCATACTCTACACTCATTTTCTCAAAAGCTTCTGCATTGTGAACGCTTTTCCTTTCCTTCAGGTTAGACGCTCTATGAGCGGTTGCGCATGCAAAATGCGCAGCCGTGCGTGATGTATAATGTTGTATTTGAGAGCTTAAGTGTTAATAGGAGAACAAGTATGTGTATATAAGACTCTGAGTCTGGGCTTGCTGAAAGGTGATTTCCTGTTGCACAGTGCAGTGCACTGGGAACCCAGTGTCCCTGGACAGAACAGCGTGTCCTCCTAGACTGGGTGTGTGCTGCACGAATAAGTCAAACAGATGCAGAAAAAGACTATACACATATGATGGCATGGCTTACCCAGACCAAGCAGGGAATGATGCTCCACTAGCGACCAGCAGTTGTCATCCAGGCAGTGGGTCTTGTAGACCAGGAACTGACACACATCTCTGGCCGTCATGTCGGCAGGGACCTCCACAACTTTTCCCACACCATCCTCGCTGAAAACTTTGATGATCTGTTCAAAACACATACACAGAATGTCCATTACAGATGCGTACATTGTTTAATATGACCACAAGGCGATGTTTCTTAATGAGTCTAATTTGTCGAACAATTACAGACACACTTTTGCACAATGCTCCAGATGGGATAATTACATAGCTTGTGTTTTGACAACTTAGCCTTGTGCTCGTCCTGCGTGAACCGTCCAAAGAAACAAATATGTTCAAATACAAACTTTTCGGTTACCTAAGAGTAAAAATGATGCTTGGAGGAAAAAAAAAAAGTTTATTTGTGCTTGTTGATTATGTTTTTGTTCTTGCAAACCATGCATATCTCAATGTTTATGTGGCCCTTAGCTTAATCTACATGGACTCTTAGTGTTTAGGTTGAGCCCGGCTCTCATAAGCGTGACTGACTTGAACACGCACAAGAGGATATACTCCATTAAGAGGCTGAATTCACATGAATGCCAAAGCCAACGGCCCAGATAAAGGGAAAAGAAAGAGAAATGCTTTCGATTCTTCCAATGACCGTGCACACAACACAGAAATGACTAGTAACCTAAATGTATGTAAACGCACAGCTAAACATACACACGCATCCACAAAAGCAAACATTTTCAACAAACACTTTAACCATCTGAAAATCACGGAAGAAGCCCACAGAGTAGCGTGCAATTTATGCACAAAGATAATCTGCATGACTAAATTTGGTATTTTTTGTAGACTGGCATCTGCAGGACGCTTCTCTTCTGAAAAAGTAGTTACTGTCAGTCTTACCTCTACTGCCTGATACAAGCAACAGTCCGGCGAACACGATGGCATTTTCTCTCTGAGACAACCTCTGCTCACTCACGCGGCGAGAGAGAGTGAGTGAGAGAGTGAGAGAAAAAGAAAGAGAAAGAGGGAGGGCAAGGGAGGAAAGAAGGGGAGGAGGGAAGGAAAGCGAGAGGATGAGAGGAGTTGAGACTGGGCAGAGGGTTGAGATGAGACCAAGAGAGTTGCTGAAACAAGAGCGAGAGAGAGCAAGAGAGAGAGAGAGAGAGAGAGAGAAAGAAGGGAGAGACACTCAGCTGACAAGCAGCTTGTGCCTTACAATACTCCAGTGGATTAAGCAGCGAGAAAGAAAGTCTAGGTGAGAGAGAAACGGGGAGAGATGACTAGTGCTTCAATTTGTTAATAAAACTGACACACTGGGTTTCTCTATATTAAATAGATCGTTCACCCAATAATGAAAATTGTTTCTTCACTTACATCATTTAGTTTTTCCAAACATGTATAACTTTTAATTCTACCATGGAACAAAAATATATTTTATGGGAAAGAGCGACCTCAACAAGGAAAATGAATAGGGACTGAGGCTGTCTTGCTGTCACAATTAATTTAATTATACAACATGGATTATGTGACTGATAACATTATTTTGTTTATTTAGACATTCTATAAACTGCTTTACAATAACAAATATCAAGATATGATAACAAATATCAATAATAAAGTAAAAAGAATATAAACATAGATTTAGTAATAAAATAATTTGATCACTGGTGTTTAACTTTCAAGTTTACTTATATTAAGAAAAATAATAATAACAATAATAACATAGGCAAGATTACTGGTTAATCAACTGATATTGATAATTAACTGATTTATCAACTTATATTTGCCAACTAATAAGCATTTAAAAAAATATATTATTTATTTTACTTTATTTAATATTTAAAATGTAATAAAAATACAAGCATTTTATGGAATAATACGGTACAAGAAAGTACAATTGTAAAGTAAAATAAATAGTGAATAATGTATGTTCATTTCATTACATTTGTCATTATATTACATATGTACTAAAGCATCAGGCACATCCGACAACCACAATTCTTTTTCCTTCCATCTCCCTCTTCCCCTTACCTTCCATCATCCCTTCCTTTGTCTCTCCCGCTCTCTTTTCCCTCAACCTAACTCTCTCTTTCTCCCCCACACCAAACTTTGCCTTGGCTTCTGTCAAAGTTTCAAATTCTCAGAAAGCCTTGAGACAGAGCTCCACATCCAGCTCTCACGACACACACAGAGTGAGATTTTGTTCTCATTCTTTTTTTTCACTCCCATTTCCCCCCTGAAGTTTGTCTTTGAACTCCACAGCCAAAGAAAACCTTTCCCTCTCTTTTTCTCAAAACTCAGCATATCACAACTGGAGAGTGTTTCTTAAACACACACAACAGAGGCCAAATCCCAGCAAAATCCCTCCTCCCACAACACTTCACTAAAATGAGTGATTCTCTTTCTCATACGGAACAAACTCAATACCAAACAATTTCTCACTATTTGAAATATGTACGTTCACTTTAAGTGTGTTAAAGAATAAAAACAAATTCTAAAACACCATTCTGTCGGTCTCAGACGGAAGACAACTGTATCATGTAATCTGACTCGACACCATGAAGAAAAGGATGTTGGGGGTTGAGTTATTGGCAAGACCATTATAGCAGTGGGAACTGTTTGCAGAGCATTGTTTCATTGCTCATGCTGAGTTATACATGCGCCGTTCTACTGCCGTAAATGCTATTTTCTACAAGCTTTACGATTTAAGAGCGTTTACCCAATGTTGTTTAAACGCATCCTTATAGTCATGTGGCTCTGAACAAACGTTTGCTCTGCACTGCTCTGTCCCGCCTCTGCCGGTCACATGGGAGGATCTTTAAATGTTAAATAAAGGTTTTGCAAACATTCTGAGGGTCACATGGCAACAAAGTGTTTGTTGGGAGTTAATAGAGGGCTGTCCAAGCATTGTTCACAGTTTGTATAAAGGGGGAAGAGATAATCCAAGAATAGAATGGAGGTCACAGTATATGGCCAATACTTATGATACATTAGGTTCTGTGATATATATACACAGCTATACAGACAGACCAATAGAGTGATAGACAGACAGACAGTTGATTCACAAGGTCACGAGAGAAAGTAGCATATTTAATATTTTTCCACTTAATATTTGGTCTTCCATGACGGGGTCCGTCACATCTGTGACAATAACCAATTGGAGCATAGAAGCTCTTCGTAAACAGCTTTCAAACATGCCGAAACGAAAGAGAGAGGAACAATTTGAGGAGCTATGACAGTCCTCCTGCCTTTGGTTTGACCATAATTGTGTGTGTGTGTGTGTGTGTGTGTGTGTGTGTGTGTGTGTGTGTGTGTGTGTGTGTGTGTGTGTGTTGGATACAACACTAGAAAAGCAAACTAAGCACTGGCTATGCTCACAAGCACACAGATGCATACATGCATTCATGAACACATGGATAAGACAACAATTAAATTGAGTGGCCACAGCACACTAACACTGTAGCAAGACTGACCTTCACAGTGGAAGATCAAAGACATCAGAAACAAGAAATGTGAGCTATCAGAACTGAATAAGAGACTGGTTACCGGAAATGGTCTACCTAACTTAACCAGTCACCTGTTTTCATTATGGTATATGTACCCGTTTCCATTCTAACAGTGGTTCCCAAACTGGGGTATGTGAGCTGACGGAGGGGGGTACGCAAACAAAATGCTGAGTTTTGCCGTTCATTTAATTCTACCCCACCTTAAAATAACATTTAAATGAGCATGTGTACCTAACAGGAAGAATGCCACCTCTAGTGTAAAAACAGGAAAATTGTCATGCTGTAAAAGGTCAAATACATGACATCCAAACAAATTACCCTTTGCGGTGAAAACTGACGGCATCCACACAAAAAGCGTGCATCTGATAATTTGCGTGCAGAGTATGTTGCCTTAGCAAATTACGCTACATTACTGCCGTTCTCGGCAATGTACATTTGTACTAGAGTAAAAGTGGGGGTTTAGCACTTGTAGAACAAATAGAGACAGACTGTGCATAGACATCGATTTAACTCTTTCCCCGCCAGCGGCAGCATTTTTTATCATTTTCACAAAAGTTTCATGGCCCCCAGAATATCTTGTTGTGTGAATATCTGAACATGCAATCAAACGAAAGAACAGACCCTCTGCTTTTGAAAAAAAAAAAAAAAAAAAAAACTTTTATACTAGCTTCATGTATTATTCTTTTATCAACACCTGAATGTGGGAAAGTTTCAGAAAAACAACAACATTTTGAGCAAAAAGCTGAGAAAATAGCGTTTTTGTCAAAGACTACGTCTGGATGGGATTCAGAATGATGATCAAAACACAGATGGAGTAGATCGAGTCCATCAACACCCCCAAAGCTTGTACAGTCCTACACCTCGTACTAGGGTTGCAAACTTCTGGGAATTTTCAAAGATGGAAACTTTCCATGGGAATTAATGGGAATTTAAGGGAATTAACAGGAATTTATAAACGGGAATAAAGTGGGAATTTTCAAAGTAGAAGTTGAGGGAACTTAAATATAGTTGAGAAAAGTATATTTTAGCATAATCTTGACTAAAACAAACAGATGCCATTCAAGTACACTTGAATATCCATGCCATTCCTCAATCAAATGCACATAGAACACTGCTTACTGCATGACTATTAAGACCACACCCCCTACTGGCACTGTGCATGCCTCCATCACATGTACAGAAACCCAAAGCACAAGACTATTGAAGGCACACATTTGAGCCTGTGGACTAAACAAAGTGAAGTAAGTTTTGATGATATTATGGGGAAATATATTTATTAAATGTTTAAATTGCAAATATCACATCAGCATTGCTATAAGATGAACACATTTGTATAAGTTAGATGCTATAAGCTAGCATAACTTTATTTACCACATAAGGCAGATGCAAGCTACCTCATGTGGCTGTTTTTCTCTGCCTCCTGCAATATGTTTCAAGATCATTCCAGTTGTTTAGCTAGCCTTACTATTTATGTATCTGTTCATGCCATTGGATTAGTATTCTTACTAGGGTTGGGCCGATGGACAATATCATCGTCCATCGTGATGGCTGACAGACCATATGGATATGGACCATGTGGATATGATACAATGATCTTCACATTACAATGAATTCCCAGTTAGTTCCCC